CAGGGCAGTTAAAGTAGTCTCAAACTGGATGATTTCTGCAGTGTGTTTGGGACCAAAGTTGTGTTCTTTAGGAAATATGCAGACTGCAAGGGTGGCAATGATGTTGCCTTCCAGGTGATGCAGCTCCCAGCAGTCTTAGCCAGTGGTGAAGAATGCTGGGAGGTGTAGTCGAACAACACTTAGAGGTCCACATGATTTTCTCCCCATATTGCATGTATATTTAAGTGCTTATGGTAAAGTGTGTTGATACAAAACTGTACCGGGGAGTAAACTTCACTGAACTGAAGGAAAATAATAATAATAATAATAATAATAATAATAATAATAATAATAATAATAATAATAATAATATAAAAATAGACATGCACAAGACTGTGTTGTTAGAAAAATTGCTCCCCCTCTTCATGGGTTTCTTTAAAGTTTCAACAAATGAAAGGCAGCACATGGGTCCTTTCTCACATTTAAAAATAAATCACTGAGTTTGAGAATTGTTGATGCAGAGTCTGGCTTGACTATATAGTGCTTGAAATTAGCATGGCTTCCAAAACAACTTCAAGACCCACCAGTATTGTGGAAAGATAAAACTTTAAAAGGCCTTTGATGATTGACCTGGAAATAGAAGATTCTCTGCTGAAACCAGTTGCCTTTCAGAGGCACATCTACTAGCCTTGGATACAAATGGAGGGGATTACCTCCTTCTAAATCAAACTCTGCACATGGGCAGAAACAGCAGCCCAGGTGCTGCAGGCTTATCTTGTACAGGTACTGAAACCTTGTTAAATCTTCTGCTTTTGTACATGTAAGTAATTTGCAAAACCCTTTATGGGCCACATAGCCCTGTGCGGTATGTTATAGAAGAGAACCTCAAGGCTGAAATGGGATGACAAAGTGTGCAAGACCTGAACAGGGCTGTTGATAACAGGATGACTTGGAGAGATCTCATTCAAAGCGTCACCATAAGTTGGAGTCAATTTGATGGCATTTAACAGCAACAGCTTCAAGCATGTAGAGAGATCTTGTAGCACCTTTGAGACTAACTGAAATAAAGAAGTTGGCAGCATGAGCTTTCGTAGACTTTAGCACTAAATGCATCTGAGGAAGTACACTGAAGTCTACGAAAGCTCATGTTGGCAACTTCTTTATTTCAATTAGTCTCAAAGGTCCTACAAGATCTCTCTACATACTGATTCCACAGACTAACACTGCTATATCTTTGAATTTCAAACATGGTTTTTAGGAGATTTCCTGTCCAAATGACTTACAGGGTCTGTTAGTTTAAGCCAAGGGTAGGCAACCTAAGGCCTTTGGACCGGCCCCAGGCCGGTCCTGCCCCCGCCGCCGCTGCCCCCCACCGCCGCCGTCCGCCATGATGATATTGATTATTGTTGTTATTACTTGTTCTTGGGGTTTTCTTGGCAAAATCTCCACAGGGGTTTTGCCATGGCTTTTCTGGGGCTGAGAGAGTGTGCATGCATATTTTTAAATCTTTTATTTATTTATTTTTATTTTAATTTTAATTAATTAATTTATTTTTGGTGCTTGGGCACCCCAGTTATCTGAAGGACAGCAACCTGGCCCCCGGCTCGAAAAGGTTGCCTACCCCTGGTTTAAGCAGTCAATTCATGCATTGGTTGTTATAATTAATAATTGGCTTTCTGCAACCCCAACACTATGTATTAATTTTCTTCTTCCACCATGCTCACAACCATGCAGAGTCTTTCATTTTATTGGGTGTGTTTGTTGCTTTCAGAGAGAACACCTTGGTAGCACTCTTGTTGAGTCCTCAGTGTGGATTGTAGTCCCCATTTTCTTTGATACAGTCTGCAAAACTGGGAAACTTACTCAACTCCTGCTAGGCTGATCTGCATACATGCAGGAGGATTTGTTGGGTTAGAGGTTATGAAGTCTTGGTTTAACTGGAGCTGCTATGTAACATTTGCTAATGCTAACCTCATTTCGGGGAGAATTTCCTGGTGGATCATGCCGCCTGCTAATTGTTTCCGGTGTGGGGAGTTGCACGCTTTGGATTTTCTTCTTCTTCAAGTGCTAGCATTTCTTTCTCCAGCTCAGAAACTGTTGATTCAT